GTCTACAGAGCTAGTTCCAGGACAGCTAAAGCTGTTACACAGAGAAACCCTGTCTGGGGGGAAAAACATCAGCTTGAAGCAATTTGCTTTCATCTGTAGTATATGGCAGGCTACTTTCACATTCAGTATACTCCCTGGCCAGACCTGGTGGCATATGCCCTTAATCCCACCACTAAGGAGACAGACGAAGGTGAATCTCTGGGAGGTTAAAGCCTAGCCTGGTCTATACAGTAAGTTCCATCCAACCAGAGCCACATGAGAGACTGTCTCAATAAAAACCACCATAAAATATGTGGTGGGTGGGATGTAGTTTTATTGTAACCTGCATGCCTAGAGTGTGCCCAAGGCCCTGGGTTTGATCTCTAGCAAGATAATAAGTAAATAAATAAATCTATAGTTCAAAAAAAGCTCATTTGACAATGATTGCACCCTAAAGCATATTCACTTGAAACTACTGGTCTGCGGAGTTAGACTCTGTCCTGATAAAATGACTCATCAGATAAAGGCGCCTACTGCCAAGCCTGAAGCTCTGAGTTCAACTGGGCGTGGTGGCAGTTCAATGCCTGGGACCCACGTTGTGGGAAGAGGACTGACTCCTGCAGTTGTCCTCTGACGTCCACGGGTGAACCATGGCATGTATCCACCTACCCACACACCTCAGCACATGCTCATACACACAAAATAAATGAAATGTAAGGGCACTGTGGAGGTGCCACACCACTGTTGTCCCCGTAACTAGTCTGTAAATGTTCCCAAGGCATCAGCTATATTCATAAATTCCTCTGCTATTCTATCCACAGTTTGTTCACCCTCTGCTGTGATTTAAACAGGTTAGGATGCTTTACCCAGCTGGTTACACAAACTTCATTTCCTTTTTCAAAACAGTTATTTGAGGCAAAATACCACTATGTAACCTTAGATGACCTAGAACTGTGTAGACCAGGCTGACCTCTAACTCACGAGATCTGCCTGCCTCTGCCTCCTGAGTGCTGGATTTAAAGGCGTATGCATGTAGGTTTGTGCACTTTAGCACAGGCAACTTATGAGTCTGAAGCTGGAATTTCAGGCAGTTGGGAACCAAACTCAGGTCCTCTGCAAGAGCAGAATGCACTCTTTATCACTGGCCCATCTCCCTAGCCCCTGACACTTCAGTTTTAAGGTTTCTGAGTTCACAGTGGTCCTGACTTATTGAGGTTGCTTTAATTTCCTATTGATCATTTTTGAGTTTGTTTAGAGTAACACCAGACGACCGTGAACTCCTGCCTCCACCTCCTAAGAGCTGGGATTGCAGCCATGTGCAGCGTGACCACTTTATGTGCTTTAAGGGCTGAACCCAGGGCTTCATACATGCTAGGCAAGCACTCTACCAACTGAACTACATTCCTCAGACCACAACCCAAGTGAGAGCCTGAGAGTGAGCCCCTTTTCTTCCTTATAAGGGATCACAATCACATACCAAAGCCACGCCCTACAGCCATTACCTCAAGTCTGTTGGCAGAACAAGATGCCAGCACACAGTGTTTAGTTGTCCCAACCCCCACCCCATTCACTGTTGGACATGAATGTACACAGAATCTTCTACTCTTGTTGAATAAAAATTCAAGTTGGTAATTGGCAAAAAGTGTCCCAGCCAATAGAATGGCCTCCTTATTCACTAGCTGAAACGTGCCAGATTTCTAGATCCCAGTTCAATGGAACCATAGTCATGTCCTGTAATATGAGAAAATATTCCACAGTTGACAGTAAAGACTTCTCATCGTTGGGCAAAGCTGTAGAAGCTAAAAATGATTGTAGCTGGGTGGTGGTGGCACACACCTCTGATCCCAGCACTCAGGAGGCAGGGGCAGGTGGATCTCTGTGACTTTGAGGCCAACCTGGTCTACAAAACAAGTTACAGGATGGCTAAAGCTACACTGAGAAACCTTGTCTCAAACAACAACAAAAACCAAACAAACAGAAAACCAATTGTATTAACAACAGGAGTTACTTCTCTTTCCAAACTTTCCTACAACTTTGTAGAGGTAGATTGTTCTGTTTCGTTAGACAGTGCCACAGACTGAACCGACGGTTTGCACATGCTGTGCGAATGCTCTACCACTGTGCTCCACCCTCAGTTTCAATACAGTATACTGATGCATCGATGGCTGACTCACAGTGTACCATGCTGTGTAAGACAGGTGACATCCAACAGAGCAGTGGTGGCATCACCTTTTATCCCAGCACTCAGGGGGCAGAGGCAAGCTGATCTCTGTGAATCCAAAGCCAGACTGGTCTACAAGGCAAGTTCCAGGACAGTCAGGACTGTTACACAGGCAGACCCTGTCTTGAAAAACCCAAAATCAAACAAACAAATAAAAGAAGACAAGTGATATCCTTTCCAGTGCCTTCCACCCTAATTCTTTTTTTTTTTTTTTTTTTTGGTTTTTTCGAGACAGGGTTTCTCTGTGGCTTTGGAGGCTGTCCTGGAACTTGCTCGGTAGACCAGGCGGGTCTCGAACTCACAGTGATTCGCCTGCCTCTACCTCCCGAGTGCTGGGATTAAAGGTGTGCGCCACCAACGCCCGGCTTCTAATTCTTTTTTTTTAAGGTTTTATTTATTTAATAAGTATACAGTTATCTGCGTGTATGCTTGCACACCAGAAGAAGGCACCAGATCTCATTATAGATAGTTGTGAGCCACCATCATGTGGTTGCTGGGAATGTACTTAACCAGTGCTCTTAACCTCTGAGCCATCTGTCCAGTCCCCACCCTAACTCTTAAATCTTGATAGTAGAACAGAATCTCCAACGGGCCATTCCTCCATTCTCAGGCCAGCTGCTTCTGGGTTCTAAGTACACAGTAACAGTAAGTCATATACACATATGCTCACTGCTGCTACTATTTTGCTATGAAATTATTTCTTGATTCAAATGCATTGCTTGCAGGTTTCCAAAAGTCTATAAGGAGGTCCCAGAAGAAGCAGTAGACAGGAGATCAGATCTTACCCAGAATGCATGTTTATTCTAGCCAAGACAAATTGCTGCCTCTTTCATGACAGAAGGGGTCCAGTGTCATCAGTTTACCAACAGGTGGACAGCTGGTCACCCTGGGGTGTAGTAGCATATTGGTGGTAGATGAAACCAGTCTTGGTCTCTGCTGTTGGAGACCACACACTTAGAAATGACAGTTCATAGGTCAGTCAGGGGTGTAACTGTTGTCTGCTCCATGCAGAGCCTCTACTCCAGCAACTTAATCCATCAGCACCAGGGTGACTGGGGAAGGGGACTGGTGGACATCTGTGGAGTTTTACTTACTCTATTCGTTTGTCAGGGTCCTTTTTGTTTGTTTGTTTTTCTTCCTAAGACAAGGTTTCTTTGTGTAGCTTTGGCGTCCTGGAACTCATAAACCAGGCTGACCTCAAACTCACAGAGATCTGCCTGCCTCTGCCTCCCAAGTGCTGGGATTAAAGGTGTGTGCTACCACTTCTCATCTTGGAGACAGAATTTTTTAAAATTATTTATCTTTAAAAAAAAAGATTTATTTATTATGTATACAGTGTTCCTCATGCATGTATGCCTGCGGAGTAGAAGAGGGCACCAGATCCCATTGCAGATGGTTGTGAGCCACCACGTGGGTGCTGGGAATTGAACTCAGGACCCATGGAAGAGCAGCTAGTGCTCTTAACCTCTGAGCCTTCTCTCCAGCCCAGAGACAGGATCTTAATGAGAAATAGTGTCAAATACTGAAATCCCAATATCTGAGAGGTAGCAATAGGAGGATCAGAGTTCAAGGCAAACCTTGACTGCAAAGCAAATTCAAGGACAGTCTGGGCTACATATATATGTATGAGACCATATATATAGGCTGGAGAGATGGCTAGATGGTTAGATGGTTAATGGCACTGGCTATTCTTGCAAAAGACCCAGGTTCAGTTCTTAGCACCCACATGGTGGTTCACAACATTTATAACTCCAATCCCAGGAGTTAACTCCAATCAATATCATTGTCTGGACTCCAAGGGCACTGCATTCACATGGTGCACAGACATATATGTAGGCAAAACACCCATACATTAAAAAAAATTAAAAAAAAAACAAGTTGTTGGGGCTGGTAAGATGCCTCAGTGTTTAAAAGTACTTGTTGCTATTCCAAAGGACGCAAGTGTGTTCCCATCACCTAATCTATAACTATACAGCCCTGGACGTCTGACACCCTCTTCTGGCCTCTTCTGGACTACATACATGTGTGCATGAACACACAATTAAAATAGATCTTCTTGGCCGGGTGTTGGTGGCACACGCCTTTAATCCCAGCACTCGGGAGGCAGAGGCAGGCAGATCTCTGTGAGTTTGAGACCAGCCTGGTCTACAGAGCAAGTTCCAGGACAGCCTCCAAAGCCACAGAGAAACCCTGTCTCGAAAAACCTAAATAAATAAATAAAATAGATCTTTTGTTGTTGTTTTCAAACTGCAGGGTCTTACTAACTGTCCTGTGAACTCCCTCTGTATACCAGGCTAGTCTTGAACCTCTGCTTCCCCAGGTGCTGGTATTAAAGGCAAGTGTTACCATCTCCCTTCCTAAAATAGATCTTTTTAAGAATAAATCAATAATAAGAGCCAGGCAGTGATGGCATATGCCTTTAATCCTGACAGGTGGATTTTTGTGAGTTCAAGGCCAGCCTGGACTACAGAGTTTCAAGACAGCCAAAGCTGTTACACAGAGAAACTCTGTCTCAAAAAAACAAACAAATAAATAAATAAAATAGCAAGACTTTGGTCTTTGGCCAGACAATATGGCTCAGTAAATAAAGGTGCTTGTTGCACAAGCCCTGCTCCCTGAATTCCATTCCCAGACACGACAGAAAGGTGGAGGGAGAGAAAAGACTCCACAGAAGTGTCCTCTGATATTCAAATTCAAGCCATGGCCTGTGCACCTCCCCCAGCACAAAGCTGTGTTCCAGGACGGGACTGGGGCTTATTACCTCAGAAGTAGAATGCTTGCCCAAGTTACAATACCTGGGAGAAAGCGGGGAGGGCAGTGGAAGAATGGAGCCGCCCAGAGAGCATCTTCAGATGGGCCAGCTTGCCTGGGATTCTGCAGAGGCTGGACAGGATTCCCTGCCATGTTCATCTAAATATGGGCAATCTAGGGCTACATTCATAGTCAGAACCTGTCTCAGAACAATAGCTGCTGCTCATGGACCTTTAATCTCAGCACAGTGGACTGGACGTGTATTGTGGATCGGAGCTGACAGTAAGCAGGTAGGTTCCAGGGTAGCCAGGCCTATGTGACAACTTGTCTCAAAACACTAAGAAGTAAAAAATGAATAAACAGACATCAGGCAAGGTGACACAAGCTTTTAATCCAACCACTCACGAGGAAGAGCCAGGAGGGTCTTTGTGAGTTAGTGGCCAGCCTAGTCTAAATATCGAGTTCCAGGCCAGCCAGGTTACCTAGAGAGAGCCTGTCCCAACAATCACCAAGCAACAACAATAAATCTGTGCTCCATGTGGAGGTGGGGGAGGGGTGTTAATAGCTCAGTGACTCAGTGGCAGAGGACTTTCCTAGTAAGTCTAAACACACACACACACACACACACACACACACACACACACACGAGGGAGAGAGAGAGAGAGACAGAGAGAGAGAGACAGAGAGACAGAGAGAGACAGACACAGAGAGAGAGACAGAGACAGACAGACAGACGACAGGCAGACAGAGATAGACACAGAAGGACAGACAGAGAACTAAAATACATTTTTTTAAACTCAGAAAAAAAGGGAGGGAGGTCTGGCGTTGGTGGCCCACTCCTTTAATCCCAGCACTTGGGAGGCAGAGGCAGACAGATGTCTGTGAGTTCCAAGCCAGCCTAGTCTATAAGAGCTAGTTCCAGGACAGCCTCCAAAACAAAACAGAGGAATCCTGTGTATGTGTGTGTGTGTGTGATCCTCCTTTCGGCTCCCTCCCCGGTGTCTCCATCTCACTTTAGGGTACAAACACCCCCTCAGATTTTCATCCTTAATTCTTTCATTTTCTTAGTCCAGCCCATCGCCTAGCATGGTCGCTTCAGTCTCCAACTAGTGGTCTGAATTAGCCCCTCCTGTCTCTGCAGTCCACAGCCGGCTGAAGCATCGACCTGGCCAGCTTGGACGCCCAGACAACATCGCTTGCTGATATTTCTTAAATCTTTCTTGATTCCTGTCTACGATGTTCATATACTTTATCTCTACCCCAACCCCACACATCTTTATTTCAACTTTTTGTTTTTGTTGTTTAATCTACTGGGCTTTTAGAGAAAGGTTTCTAAAGAAACAATGAGACTTTCATCAGAACACAGCAATCATTCCGGACGTAAACTGAAATGTGAAGTCAGGGATTTGTTTCACAATCCCGGGGAAGGGCAGAGGTGGGGGTGGGCGGGAGATGGACAAAACCAGATAGTCGGGAGCGGACGGTTTAACTAGGTGATGCTCGGGGGAATGGGTATGGGGGGCGCGCTTTAGGATCGTGCCTTTGGTTTATGTTTGAAATTCTTCCTAATCCAAGTCAACAGAAAGCCGCAGAGGAACCACACGGCTCTGTCGCAATCCTCCTCCCCGACAGGAACTCTTCGTATTGGATTGTAAGGCTTCGGCACAAGACGAACAATTTCGGGAGGGCTAGCTGTTTTTCTGGAACGCGACCCTAGCTAGCACTAAAGCTTTCTGAGTCCCAAGCTGGGACAGAGAGTTAAGCGGCCAACGCCAGGCTGGAGGCTGGAGGCCCGGCCACCTCGATAGGAACCCACCGGTTAGAGCACAGCGCCTGCCTCCGAAGCTCCGCCCTCAGCTCGCCCGGCACGTGCAGCCCTGGGGCTCGGCTGCCCGTCCTCCCAGCCCCCACCCGGGCACGTGACCAGCCTCCCCGGGGGCCCCCGCGGGACGGAGTCCGAGGATGGCTTGCAGCGGAGTTTGGGCGCGCGCGCCAGGTTGGAGCCGAGTCCCCTGACCCGGGTGCTCCGGGTGGGAACTCGGCCACCGTGAGAGGTGCAGGGTGAGAGACGACTGCACACCCTCGCAACCCCCGCCAGGCGCGGAAGGGCCTGCCCGGGTTCCTCCGCGCTAGCCTGGCGGGACGCGCGCCGGCTCAGGTATCTGGGTGTGGCCAGACCCAGCCCGTGCCCGGGGCTGATGGCCCTGCTCTGCGGAAGTGGCCAGAGCCACCGCCTTTTTGTTTGCCACTCCCAAGTGGACAAAACCCTCCTGGGTCCCAGTTACCTTCTTGCCCCTTCTTCTGGGTCGGACACCGTCCCCTGCTACCCCTAACGGCCCCTCATACCCTCGGGTGCCGCACTGTCCCCCTACTTCTCCCAAACTGGCCCTTAGAGTACAGGAACGCACAAGAAGTGTTATTTTTATTTTCATTTCAAAATCGAGGCGTTATTGAAGGTAGAGGCGCAAGCCTGTAATAATCCTAGCGTTTAGTCGAGACAGGGGGATTACCGCGAGTTCGAGACCAGCCTGGGTCCCTTTAATGAGTTCCGGACCAGCCCGATTAGGGTTTGAGACTCAGCCTGAACAAAACAAAGCAAAAACAAAAACAAACAAAAAACTACTACAACGATGCGGTCCCTAGTCACCGCTGCGTCTGCGTCCCTTGTACGCGCCGCCTCCAGCAATGGCGTCTTTGTCCCGACTCAGGCCAGGGCTCTAGCCGGACACAGGTGTGGCTATTCGATCCGACTGCACAGCACAGGGGGCGAGAGTGTAAGCTGTCTTGGGGTAGGGAGTCCCAGGCTCTGAGACCCCACCCTCGCACTCACTTTCAGACCAGGGTCCAGAACGCAAAAACGAACGATGAACTCAGGCGGAGGTGAGGCTAGCTGTTGCTGCGCCCCAGGGCCAGAGGGGCGGGGACGGTGAGTCATTCCTCCCGCCAACTGCTAGCTGCTGAGTTCCCCTCCTCCCCGCCCCTACAACCCCGGGCTCCAGTGGTCTAAAGTACCCGGACTGGGTTTACAGGACATCCACGCTGACGCCCCCCAACTAGGGACCTCTGGCAGTTTGAGTTTCCTGTTCTGTTTAATGGGAGTGGCACTTTCTAACAGAGCCTTAGGCTTGGCACCTGCAGTGCTCAGCAGAAAAAATCCCAGTCCTTGGGCTGCTTGCTTCTGAAGGGAATGAACACAAAACGGGCACTGAGCATGCTGTAATAGACATCGACATAGGTTAAAGCCAATCAACCAAAGGGTTAAAACCTTTTTCTTTCCGGGCGGTGGTGGCTCAAGCCTTTAATCCCAGCACTCAGGAGGCAGAAGCAGGCAGATCTCTGTGAGTTCCAGACCAGCCTGGTCTACAAGAGTTACAGGACAACCTCCAAAGCCACAGAGAAACCCTGCTTCGAAAACCACAAACAAAACAAAACACCCTTTTCTTCCAAATATTTGAGATTTCTAGCACCACACCTGCCCGGAGAAGTTGAAGAGATGACGGCCTCAAGAAGCCAGTAAATGAGGTGGCCCTCCCTGGAAGCAGTTGTCACCCCTCAAGTGGGAGCTGACAGAAACCTGCCTGTCCAGGCCCCCTGTGGGTCAGAGTCCAGAATTAGCTAATCTCTATTTCTGTCTCTGTGTGTCTGTCTCTCTCAAGGCAAGGTTTTTTTGTGTATCTCTATAGACCAGGCTATCCTTGAACTTCACAAAGATTTGCCTACCTCTGTCTCCCAAGTACCGGGATCAAAGGCAAGTGCTACCACCACCCAGCCCTAATCTCTCTTCTTCTTCTTCTTCTTCTTCTTTTTTTTTTTTTGTTTGTTTTTTTTACGAGACAGGGTTTCTCTGTATTGTTTTGGAGGCTGTCGGTCCAGCCCGGCCTCGAACTCACAGAGATCCACCTGCCTCTGCCTCCCTCGTGCTGGGATTAAAGGCGTGCACCACCACCGCCCGTCTTAATCTCCTTAAAAATAAAATTTTAGGGCCCGGCGTTGGTGGCACACGCCTTTAATCCCAGCACAAGGGAGGCAGAGGCAGGTGGATCTCTGTGAGTTCGAGGCCAGCCTGGTCTACAGAGCCTCCAAAGCTATACAGAGAAACCCTGTCTCGAAAAAGCAAAAAAAACTTTTTAATTATGTTTATTTGTTTTGTATGTATGTTTACAGATATACGATCAAATAGATTGTAGAAGTCAACATATGGGAATGAATTCTGTTTCATCACATGAATCTTAGGGATTGAGTTTATATCATCAGGCTTGGTGGCAAATGCCTTTCCCCTCTGAGACATCTGGCAGGCCCAGACCCTAGAATCTCTAGGCTCTGTACTTATAGTTTTGTTCCCTAACTGTACTTCCGGTGTCAGAGATCAAACCAAGAGCCCTCATGCATGCTTACATAATTTTTTTTTTTGAGACAGGGTCTCTCTGTGTATCCAGTTCTTGCCTGGAACTTCCTATATACACCTCAGATTCATAGAGATGTGCCTCTCAAGTGCTGTGTGTATGTCGCCACATTCTGTTTTATGATAGAGTTTTTTTTTGTTTTGTTTTGTTTTTTAGTTTTACGAGACAGGGTTTCTCTGTATTGTTTTGGAGGCTGTTGGTCCAGCCTGGCCTGGAACTCACAGAGATCCACCTGCCTCTGCCTCCCGAGTCCTGGGATTAAAGGCATGCGCCACCAATGCCCGGCTGATAAAGTTTATTTTTAATTAATTAGTTTGTTTGTTTTTGAGACAGGGTTTCTCTGTGTAGTCGTGGCTGTCCTGGAACCCCAGGAACTGTGTAAAGCCTGACAGTGGAGCATAGGTCTGTAATGCTATTGTTCCTGAGATGAGGTGGGAGAATTCCTGCAAGTTCTAGGGCCCTGCCTGGTTTCCCTATCCTTGTTGAGACCCTATCTCAAACAAGGTGGATGCTGTCCTTTGACTTGTGAGTCAATGCATAGACTTATAAGTGATCAAGGTGCTGGGAATGAGTGACAGCTGAGGGCTCAGTACTAAATGGGTCATCTGCATCAACATCCCCTGCACCCCCAACTCCCTCACCCTCCCAACCCCCCCACCCCACCCCCACCCTCCACCCCTGGCAATGGTGTACACCTTTAATCCCATCACTCAGGAGGCAGAAGCAGGCAGTTCTCTGAGTTCGAGGTCAACCTGGTCTACAAAGGAAGTTCCAGGACAATCAAGAATCTGTGTCTCAGCCGGGCGTTGGTGGCACACGCCTTTAATCCCAGCACTTGGGAGGCAGAGGCAGGTGGATCTCTGTGAGTTCAAGGCTGGGCTGGACCGACAGCCTCCAAAACAATACAGAGAAACCCTGTCTCGAAAAAAAAAAAAAAAGGGAGGGTGCTTTTCTGGGGCCTTGGAAAAGGTCCAAAAGGTTCCCCCTTGAAAGTACTTGGGTCGCGCCTCACGCTGACACAGGCTAGCCAGCTTAAGCCTCTTCTGCAGGTGCCTGAGTCTATGACCTTGACCCAGCTCCAGCGCTTACTGGGGGAGATTCATTGGCTGAGACCCTGGGTGTCAATCCCCACAGAAGAGTTGGTGCTCCTGTATGCCCTGCTAAAAGGCAATGAGCCTCGTGATAATATAACAAAGGAACACCACACAAGATTCTCCTTGTCTTTCAGAAGGTCTTGGACAAATGCTAAGGAGGTATTGGGTGACTAGGCCCTTATACCGCTGGCTGTTTGCTGGAGCCTTCCTGATTACAGCGGTTCCCAGGATGGGGAGCTATTGGAATGGATCCATACATCTTTGGGAGGAACACCCCGAGTCTACCCTCAGAAAAATCAGGTCACTGACATCATCATAAAAGGCAGGACCCAGGCCCAGCAACACTATGGGCTAGACCCCCAAACCTTTGTCTTCCCCTTTTGGGTGGCAGATATTGAATGGGTTAATGGGACTAACGCCCGCCTTGCTCTCATCTTAGAAGAAGTTATGGGGCCCTCCAAATGGGCTCCTCTTCTACAGAGACTCCCCCTCAAGATGTCTTCCTTGGTTCCATCCAAGCCCATCCCGGAAGCCATTTGCATCTTCATTGATGGGGGCCAATCGGGCTCTGCCTACATTGCCTTTAAGGAATACCAAGCGACACCAAGACACCAAAGACTTCAACCCTCCCAGGGTTCTGCCCAATATAAGGAAATACTGGCTGTGACACTGGAATTACAGAACATCTCCGAGTCCAGCAATCATTTTTTTCAGACAGTCTCTATGTGGTTAACTTACTTCCCCATATCCCCCATGCACACATCTGGCTAGATAATAACCCAATATCTACCTTCATAGTGCCTCTTTTTTTTTTTTTTTTTTTTTTTGGTTTTACGAGACAGGGTTTCTCTGTTTTGGAGGCTGTCGGTCCAGCCTGGCCTCGAACTCACAGAGATCCACCTGCCTCTGCCTCCCGAGTGCTGGGATTAAAGGCGTGCGCTACCAACGCCCGGTTCATGGTGGCTCTTAAGACTCTTTTGTAGGTCCTGAGAGGTATGAATTTACCTTCAACACCTTCAGGGACACTCTGGCCTCCCAGGATTTCTGACAAAGGGCAATGAATGGGCAAATAGACTGGAGACAGCCCCAGAGGCATTAACCCTACAGGAAGTCACCCAATTGCATGACATGTCCCATATCAGATTAGATTATCAGTGATTCCTATAAAAAAGAAAAAACCAAGAAATGCAGGGCCTGCGGCACAGTCTTTATCCGAGAATATGCGGAGGTTGTCGGGATTGACAACATAGAGACCCAAAGGCTCCTCAAGAAGGCTCTCCTTTATTCCCACTCTGGCTGGTTATTATATACACTGACACCAGAGGTGGAGGTGGGTGGGTCTGAAGAGGTGGTTAGTGTTTGGAAAAGGTCGAGGACGGGGCAGTTCCTGTGGGCAAGCCCTTTTCAGGAATTTACTGCCCCAGCATTGTATTGTTTTTAGTAAACATGTTTTAGTAAACATTGTCTTACAGCTGCCTGGCCCCAGGCTGATGGGGAAGTGGGTCTCTGCTCAAGGTCTGGTGTCCCCACAAAGAAAGATAGTTCACACCTGCAAATCACATCAACCATATCTAAGAGTTCCCCTTCTACAGATGCCAGGAAGTTAACCCTAGAGGCCTATGGTCCAATACCCTCTGGTAAACTGATATTACTCATTTTCCAGCTTTTGGCAAATAGAAGTATGTTTTAGTCTCCATAGACATTTATTTGGGGACCTATTGGGCCACTGCATGTATGGGGGGGGACTAAACATGCTCAATCTCACTTCCTCCAATGTTTTGCAACCCTAGAATTTTACCTACACAGGTCAAGACTGATAATGGCCCTTGTTTTGGCAGTAATTCCATGGCAGAATTTTTTTGTTTTTTGTTTTTTTGTTTTTTTCGAGACAGGGTTCCTCTGTGGCTTTGGAGGCTGTCCTGGAACTCGCTTGGTAGTCCAGGCTGGTCTCGAACTCACAGAGATCCGCCTGCCTCTGCCTCCCGAGTGCTGGGATTAAAGGCGTGTGCCACCAACGCCCGTCCATGGCAGAATTTTTTTTATAGTTGGCACATCAAACATACTACAGGAATCCCTTACAACCCTCAGGGATAAGCAATTGTAGAAAGAAACCATCAATGTCTTAAAGAACAACTTTTAAAACTAAAAGGGAGAATAAGACCCCATTTACAATTAGGGATGGCCCTATTTATCATTAATATTTTAAATTTTTCTAAAATGGTGACAGAATCTAGTTTTCAAAAACATTGGAGCCATAAAACCCCAGACCCCAAGTTAAAGTCTATTAGAAAGACCCTCTAACATCCCAATGGGGTGGGGGCTCAGATCCGTTAATTACAATGAGAGGAGAGTTTTGGATATGTCTTCCCCATAGGGGAGGAAGTGCCCATCTGGCTTCCGACCAGAAATCTAAAATTC